CCAACATAATACATTGTATCGTGCTTCAAACAATTTTTCGGTTCTGACATCTTCCAAAGTTAGTCGCTAGCACGGGCACGGCGCGTAACACGCGCACGCAGAACGCCCACGGGCACGGCACGGGAGGCACGGGCACGGCGAAACCAACTCTTTATGCCTTTGGAACCAGCATGCATAGCGGCATAGCATACGGAGTCCAGGTTTTGAGCCACTCAAGCACAACTATTTGTTTGAGCCGACTGGACGCCAAAAGATGGAAGTCACACTTATAGGTCGCAAAGAAAGCAGACACATCACAGTCACAGGCATGATCAGAGACACGAAAGCCTTTACTCTTGGGTAGGTGCGTTTGGCAAATCTGTCTCCAGGCGGAAGGACAAGTTTGACAGTGTTCCATGAAATTATAAAAACAAGTCAAAGCTCGGAGCATATCGACACAAAAGGATGCAAGCTCAGAGCCACTCCAGCCATCACGGCCAGGTGAAGTGTGGGACAGCTTAGCAACAGTCTTGACAAGATCTGCAGGTAAGAGCGGAGCCCACTCTTTTTCTTCTACATGCAAGGAAGAGGTGACTGTGTCCCAACCACGACACAAAGACTCCAACGGCGGGACAGGTCTTTGCCACACATTCACCCAGAATTCTCGGAGCATCTGGAAAGCTTGCGTCAAATTGGTGCAAACATCATTTGGACGATCTTGGTGAGAAAGGTTGTAAGGCATAGGACTGGAATCTTGCTTGACCCATTGAAACATGGCTCTTTGTTTGGTTCGCATACGGGAACGCCATGCCGAAAGGCCATCTTGCGTCTTGCTTTCGGTCCAGGTGCGTTCAAGTGCTATATCAAAGAATTGCGCCAGGTTTCCAGAGACATCTCTCCACAAGGAAACATGCGATCAACTTTAGCAAACAGGTGACGTGCATGGGCGGACCAACCATGTGCAGAAACAACACGTTGAAGTTCGAACCGGCCGATGGCATTACGTACCTGGCGAGTCTTGGTGAAAGCAGGTGGACCAGTAGATTTAAATTCAGGCTTATGACTAAGGGAGACTTCAGAATTTTTGGACCTAACCCCAGCAGTCATGTGTGTTGGGAGGTACAGAGTGTCAGGCTGACAGAGCAGTCAGGCATTCTGTAACGTTTCCTCAAAGGCCTGGCTCAAAGAAGACCACTGTCCTGATCATGCGCAAGAGATTGCGGGATTTGGAAATTCAGAAGTTTCCAAGAGAGCGAAACAGCATCCATCCAAACAGTATCATTGACGTTATCGGGCTTATCGTAATGATTCACACGTTTCAGGGGGCCATGAGGCCATCAACTTGCGGGCAGTGGCCAAAGTGCAAGACAAATCAAGAAGTATATGGTCACCATACTTAAGGGAGGACAAACTGACCGAAACATGGACATCCTGACGAGCAAAATTGGTAACAGCATAATCAGTACAACGCGCGCCCTCCCAACGAGTGGGCAAAGGCTGCCGTTGCTTATTGCAAGCATGCAGGCACCAACCACCCAGGGGATCCAGTGAAGGAAGGAAGGAACTCATTTTCATCAGGAGTCAGATTCCAATCTCCAACGCAAAGAAACTTAGAATCCCTGTGAGCGATACATTCTTGAAAGAGGCCATCACAAATTTCATCGGCATGTGCATGTGGGCGAATACGGATTTTTTGTACAAACAAAGTTTTATCGGGCAAAAAATCAAGAACTTTCCATGCATTTTTTGCGGATTGCACGTTGAGGCTGACGATCTGAGCCACAGCGAGTGACTCAGCTTTTCTCCTGGGACCCGGATTTGGATGCACATCGCCATGACTGCAAAGGTCAGGCACCCAAGAGTCTTTTGCAGTGTGGTCGAGGCCACATAGAACCATCCTTTGTCAATCCTCTGCAATAAAATCAAAATGCAAATCAGCAGCGCCAAGTGTGGTGTTCCATGCAGTCACAAACATTTGCACATTGGGATTTGGCCCGGTGCGCATCTTGTTCCACCCAAATCTTGGCAGCAGCACGTGGCTTTGGTGGAGATCCTGGGCAAGTGCTAGAGAGACTTCGGCCATACCAGGCCCAACATCTATTGCAGACAGGGAGGCGAGCCGAGTGTTTGTTGGTGCTGTTTTTGCCAGCCCATTGAATCCAGTCAGGCTGAACCCAAGTGGTACTGTGGCCAGTCTTTGCATCTCTGGCTTTGGCACGAACCTCAGCATTAAGCCATTGTTTCTTAGCTAAGGACTTCTTCCCAGCTTGGAGTGCCGTCTGGCTGCTTTTGTCTTTTCGATACAGCTTGCTCTGGGCTTTCCAAATACTCTTATGGTTGGTATTTCGGTGTTTGTGCTTAGTGGCATAATGATGCTTGATTCTCTTGTTGGTGCTTAGAGAGTTCAGGCAAAGCGTCCTTGCAGAAAGGACAGATCCATGCGATTTCACTTGCAGGTAACTTGTTCGTCGCAATGACAGGCCCAACAATTTTGCGACGCCAAGTGCTCTTGCCCCTCATGCCAGAATGTCGGTTAGCAACATGGTTATTGCGCATCTCACAGAGTTTGGCAGGCGAACCGTTGAGCACCAACTTGCAATGCGGACAGGTCCACGCGTCATCTTCAACGAATAACTGCTTTTTCACACTGCCAGTGCGCAAGATGCGTCCGCTCCGACACCAAGTCGCTTCAGATCGGGCATCAGCAATTGAAGTCTTCTTCAGTTTGCTTTGAGGCGTGTGGACTGCCGAATCATTCACAAGAACACTTCCGGGATTCATCCAACTACAAGTTGACTTACCGGAACCACGCGGAAAAGTGCCTCTGGGCTGTGCCCTCTGGTCAGCTCCAGGCGTGCTGGGATCAATTGTGGAATAACGACCATTTTCGAGAAGAAGCACGATAGGGTCACGTTAATTGATGCGGGCAACCAATTTCCATTTCTGATTCGGCTTGCGTTCCTAGATCAGAAAGTCATGCTTGATGGCTGACGCGATAGCCTGAGCCATAAGGCCATCGACCCAGCGGTTTGGTCGAGTCAGAGAATCTAAGTACTCATCGGCACTGGTGGGGATGGATCCATCCTCTGTGATGCGATTAGCATCAGGGTCAAGAGTCCATGTATCACGCCAATGCAAATGCTCCTTGAGGAAGTTTATACCTCGAGCTTTGATGGTGGTAACATGTGGTAACCATTTTGCTGATATTCTTCTCAACGTCTGCCTTGCTTTTTCCATTCCGAACTGCTACAGCAGCAGCAATTGCACGATAGCCGCAATCTCCAGACCCCTGCAAATCCCAGATTGCAGTGTCACCTGGGCCTTTGTGTTCTTTCCCAGTCTTGGTGGAAGCATTTGGGGGCACAATCTACAGCTCCAGGTCATATCTAGCACAATCTACAGCTTCAGGTCACACGTCTCACTGCTTCAGAGTCCACAAGAAAGATGTGGCTGGGGGCGCCTATGACCTAGGAGCCCTGATCTGACAGTTCCCAAGTTTGGTTTCTGGGTCTGGCTTCTGGCGTGAACTCGCCTCTAGACAGCAGATTTAAGTCTAGGGCGGCTTTGATGTGATCACCCCTACGCACTGGTTGTCTTTCACAGTTCCACAGATCTGACAGCTCTCTGTTCTCGTGAGACCAGTTTTTTTCGGAGTCCGCAACAAAGATTTGGTTGGGTCGCCTATGACCTGGCACCCTTGATCTGACGGTTCCTGCTCTGTGTTTGCTCCCAAGTTTGGTTTCTGGGTCTGGCTTCTGGCGTGGGCTCGCCGTCCTGGAAGGCACTTGGGGGGTTGCTGATCTGAAAAGTTCAGCCGTTTTGCCGCGTGGTGGATCACTTGACGCGACCGGAAACGAGGAGGAATCAAAACGCAGAAGGTCACTGTTGTACTGAACCTGTGTTTTGGAACGCAAGAGCGTTTGGAACCCCTACGCAAGAGCGTTTGGCCCGAGATGGCCCGAGCCACGTGTTTCGCAGTTCCACAGATCTGACAGCTCTCTTTTCTGGCAAGAGAGGTTGAAGGTTTTAGAACGAAAGGCGTCATAAGGATCCTTGTGACACCTTTCCTGTTCCCCATGATTGTGATCGTTTTGGATTTTGAGCCAGCTGCAAATGCGAGCATGTGATGTGGCTTTTTGAAGTTATGACATCATTCCTTTATCACGCCTTGAAAGTCCATTCCGACCATATTATTCCAGGGTCCCACCCACCCACCCACCCACCCACCCTAACAGGGGAACATGGTGGAGCAAGTCAATTCCGACCTTATTATTCCAGGGTACCATCCACTCACCCCAACTTCAACATGGTGGTTTTAATATTCCTTAAATAAAAAAACATATTCTGAAACATTATTCCTGGGGGTGACCCTACCCTGGTAGTTTTTACGACAGGGGGGCCCATTATATGTATACATATATATATATATATCACTGCCAACAAGGGCCTTTCAACGTCTCAACCCAGCGATCCAACGACACCCAAATGAAGCATTACAAGCGGAAATGCCACAAGATACATACAACCCACCAATCAACCAACCCAAACATAGAAACAACAACAGCCAAGCACCAGTGAAAGGTTGACCTCAAGCACACAAAATAGGGAAAAGCTAACAAGGGTTCAGGACTTCGGTGGTAGAAGTGAGCACAATTCAATGCGGTGGTCAACAAATAAACTCTGGATGGCTAGAAATTGAACTCAGTTCTCCATCCTTCCCCTCGCCCCTCAACTACACAAATGGATTTGCATCATGTTGTTCTCACACACCGTCATACACCCCCTACTATCCGCATCACGAAATCAGGAAGTGAGTGCATCCTCGTATTGGTCGCTGAGTTTATCTTGCATGATCTATCCTGTGTTCATGGCTTCAATGCCAAGTTTGACCACCAATCAGTCGCAACTACCAAGAGTGCACCAACCAGCAGCAACCACAGAGCTCTTTCTCATCTCCTAACTCGATCATGGTCCTGCAGCCGTCACCTCCGACGGCTCGGTTGTCTTCTGTGCTGCGCGGCATCTGCTCCAGGCACTCCACGGCCAAGCTCCACGCTGCGTTTCCACGCTGCTCCACCGTGCCCAGCAGCGCCACAAAGCTCCTGGTGAAGAGGCGCGGCCCCTGCTATTTTGATGTAAATTTTCCTGGGGTTCAGCAGGCTAGGTTGGAGGCAAGTTTGAGAACTCAGTGGGCCAGTTGTACAGCGCCGCTCGGTGTGTCTTACAGTCGTGCATGGTGCTATTTTTCGCATGGATTAGAAAGTGTAGCTCTTGAAGTTCCGTTGTGTTGCCGGTCTCTTGCAAACCAGTCCTGCAAGCCAAGAAAAACATGCCTCGACCAGTTGACAGGGCCGCCAAGGTAACTTTGTGGGGCATCTTAGCTTATGTTAGCTCAGGCCACAGTTATCTGAAGACCCGTGAAGACCTATGTACGCGTCATACTGTTTCTTCTTCACTGACCCTGCAAATGGCTACAAATAACTCAATGAGCACAAGGTGTCATGGGTGAAACATGGTGAAACTCAGCCCAAACATAGTGCCAAAGCTCTTCAAAACGCGCGTGCCCGAACACACGCTCAATCTGCAGAGCATTTCCCATCGCACCAGGGTCGACCGGTCCAGCTATCGGGTTGACGTCCGTGAATGCGAAGAGCTTCGAAGCTGGCAAGGCTTTGGGCCCACCTGGACCAAGGTCGAAGGTGAGGCCCTTCGGTTAAACGACGGTTAACCAAAGGTTCATAACCGAAGGTTAATGGACTGCCGCTCATCGCAGCCGACCCCCTCGGAGCCTGTGTTTTTCTATATGTGTATTTTGACCTTCCCATTTTGGAATTGCGCTTCGATGTTGATTGGTTTCCACCACGTGGTGCGAGTTTCCCTGCCCGAGTTGCCATGCATTATCGGCATTTCGAGTTTATGGTTCTTCTCCTCCTCCTGCTCGTCTAGGGAAAGAGAAGGGAAAGAGAAAAGGAAGGCGAAGAGAAAGAGAGGAAGAAAAATATAAGATAAATATAAAGAGGAAGAGAAAGAGAAAGACAAAGAACAAGAAAGAGCAAGATAAAGATAAAGAGGGAAAGGACAAGCAAAAGGAAAAGGGAAAGAAAGACAAAGAGAAAGAAGAAGAGGAAGAGAAAGAGGAAGAGGAAGAGAAGGAGAAAGAGAAAGAGGAAGGGCAAAGAAAAATCAAGAACAAGAGAAACAGCAAGAACAAGAGGAACAGGAAAAGGCAGAGAAAGAATAATGGAGTAGGAAGAGAAGAAGAGGAAGAGGAAGAGAAATAGAAAAAGTACGTAAGAGCAAGAGGAAGGGAAAAGGAAGAGGAAGAGAAAGAAGACAAGGAATAGGACGAGAATAAGAGGAAGAGTAAGTGACAAAGAAAAATTGGTAAAGGAAGATAACAAATAACATAGGAAAAGAAGAAGAGGAAGATAAGAATGAGAAAGAGGAAGAGAAAAGCAAAGAGAAGCAGCAGTAAGGTCTAAAGATTCTCTGGCTGAACTGGGCCCCAACTCTTCCCTCATTCCGGCCGGTGCCCGGCTGTCAGGTGTAGGCCTTTACATCCACCCAATCCACCAATGGACCTTGTGGACGGGATGAGGGCAGCGTCGTGCACCCCGAACGGGGGGAAGTAGGGGAGTTCAAAGAGTTCACCCCGTTGCATAAGCGGGTTGCCTCGTTTTCCAGCAAAACCTAGGCGCCTACCTTTGTGGGGTTGTTGCCAGGCCTTCCGTTGTATGGCTGTATGCGCCTGATTAACGTTTTAGTGTGACATGCGACATGGGATTCCAACAAGCTTCTCACTTTGGGAGTTTGAGCTGCCCTCTTCAGTTCCCAGGCTTGACCGATCACCACAACCTTGGCTGAAATTGACACACAGCCCAGAACTACTAGTGCCCGTGGAATCCAGCGAACTATAAAAACACGTGAACGTACGTGGCGGAAATATTATTCAGGAAAGAATGCCTGAAACCGTTTGGGACGGGGCCCTGAAACCCTGCAGAATTACTGCAATCCTTCCAATAAGTTTACCTCATATGGCAAACTACAGATCTATTTGGGCACCTCTAAGCTTAAGAGTTGTCGAAACCAACTCTGCCTGGGTGAACTTTCGACCTATCCACCAATGTGACACCCACTGCACACTCACTCGACCTATCCTCCAATGTGGCGCCTGGTGACCTTGGAAAAGCTGGACATGGCCGAGTTATAGGCAATGACTTCTGGCCGTTCCGCACCACCTCGCCGTTCCGCGCCGCCGGGCGACAAGCTGAGAAACCTCACTCCCTTCCAGGCCGCTGGGTTAGCAAAGGCCGCTGGCCCAAACGGCGTGCACACCGATGCATTTGTGATTTCATTCTAGATCCCACCAGGGCTACTAGGCCAACATAAGACTGCGTGAATGAACCCATTTCCCTTTGGAAGCAGCTATTGGCATCGTGTGCGGGAGGTCTGGTGCATTGAAACAGGTCTGTTTCAATCGATCTCCAGCAAATCATTGAAGGAGGGAAAGTCGCAACCAAGAGAACTACATCTATGATATGTAAACATATGCTAAATATAAATATATATATATATTGCGCGTGTGTTTTATATTAGGAGGTTTCATTCGATGTTGCTTGCGGTTGTTTCTAGGGCCCTCTTGACAAATTAAAACTCGCCAAACTGACTGAGTACCTCGGAGCCACAGGAACTCAACACTGATGTTTTGCTGTTCCACATCCACCATCTTCGGAGTTCCGTACTGTTGAGATACTTTTTTTTGCGGCCCAAAAACGGCAAGCTCTTTTTGGCATGTGCTCCTAAACGAAGGTTTCCACTTCCAATGGCAACATGAACAAGAGTGAGCACGGCCCTCTTACGAGGCACAACAAGTCTATAGATTTCTCAACCGTGCTACTTATCATTCCCATGAGGATCCCCCCTGTTTGCCACAAAACAATCACTATATAATTCGCCCCAAAAAATAGGGAAGCAACCGTTTCAGTTTGGGGTTGCCCGTCCAAACTCTGAACAATCCGGAACCTGAACACCAAAAGCTCGGGATTGGCACCCCACCCGCCCCCGTATGACCCCGCTGCGGGCAAGCCGACCTTCAGCCACTTGGCCAGCGCGGTCGAGCAATTCGCTGAGCGTGGCCCACGTGTGCTGCGCGGTGCCCACGGCAGTGATCGCCGAGTTACACCTGGGCGGCGACCATTGTGGCAAACACTCAAAAAGTGGGGTGGAATGGCAAAAAAATCGAAGAGAATGACAATTGTTTGGGTCTTGCCGATTTGATTTCTTCCAAGCACCCCGGCTTTTTGTGGCAAAACCATCCTCCACCCCGCAACAAAACTCTGGAGTCGGAGAGCGGATGTCCACCGGAGGTTTGCGGCCGTTGCGCCGTCATCAACATCGACAAGCGACACCACCGCATTAGGCCATAAGCGCCGCTGGGGCATTTCCTCCAACACTGCCAGGGCGGAGGACCATCGTCGAGCCTTTCCAAAGGACACAATGGCACTGCTACCTGAGGTGCAGTGGGCGACACCAGATCTAGTGCACACCTGGCCAATCAATTTCTTCCAACTTCAGATTTTGAACGACACACCGACTACTGTTGGAGAAAACGTCCCAAAATAACTATAGTATATACCATGCTTCTCCTTCTCTCAAGTGCTGGGCACTCAGCATGTCATTTCTTCTACTCTCTGGTGGCAAGCAGTCGAAGGTCGAGAGCGATGGGAGCGATGCTATGGATGGAACCACCCAATCATGTCCCTGTGGGACTAGAAGAGAGGTCGGTTTGGGACCATATACTTGGTACCTATTGGTGGGACATTTGGATGTCACCGCTCTATTCAACCAACCACAATACACTCCTGAAAACTAACATCGACCCTGAGAATGGCACCCTGAAAGACTGTTTTCCTCTACAAAACCAGTGGTTTTCAGGTTCCATGTTAGTTTTCAGCGGGGTTTTTTAATGGCAAAGGCAATCTATGGTTTTCACCACAGCTTCCCTTAGAGAAAACTAAGAGAGACATTGTTGGGATCGCCTCTCACGCATGAAACAACATCAATGCCTGCTATCACGTCAAAGGGGCTCGTTCTCTTTGAAGGAAGGTGTGGAAACACCCTGTGATACACACCGAAGTGGTGCTGTTCCAAAAACAGGCAATGGTCAAACCCGTTGCGTATAGCCATATATGAGTTGCAATATCTGCCGTTGCAAGAGAGCTTGGAAGGCAAAGCTTGGAAGAAATCAACATGGGGGATATCACATCTGGGAAGTTGTTAAATCGTTGTAGTCAAACTTTCTTTGTTTTCCCAAATTGTACTATATACAGTGCTGAGGGTTACATATCGGTTTTGAGGTGGACCTTATCGTTTTACAGGGTTTTGTGCACAAACCTACCCCTCTTTACTAAAGTGGTCTTCGCATGTTTTGATCGTGGCTGATCTGTATACATAGAAAAACAGGAAACACCTCAAAAACAGGAACATAGACCAAGGATGCTTTTAAGAAATGGAGCCCCAAAACTCGTGCTGAATCTTTCAACCGCTTATAGGTCTTATAGACTTGGGAGCCAAGCCTGTCCTATATAACTTTTGGGCAGGACGATGTTTGGAGCAAATTCCGCCCCATGTGAAAAGGACAGCGGGCCAGAACCTCTTGAGCTCATTTGGGCCGCAATTCGGATAAGAACCATAAAAAACAACGCAATGCTGAAAATGTTCCAAGGGTTCATATGCAAAATATGCATCACAGGGTTTGGTTTTCTTACCCAAAACGGGTACTAAATTTAGTGCCCAGTTTCTTATATTTATTTTCCTATGGTTACCCCTTCTCTCAATCAATCTGCCACTACAATCATTGGGATACAATGCCATATTAAATCTACAGATTCGGACTCTCATGCTCCTTGCTTCATGGCAAGGTCAGCTTTCCTGGCTTTCACACCTGACCAAGTTGCAGTCATACAGATCCGCGTCAACCTTCAGGACCGGCATGGCACCGGGCGCGGGCGACATGGGACGACGGTGAAACGCTGCGGCGGAACGACCCCTCGGTCGACCCGAGCGTGGCGAAGCAGCACACCACGAGGAAGCAGTTGTTTGGAGTCCAAGATCTAGACCCTTCCACTGTTGACACCGATCTTCATCTGCGAAGTGGTTTCGCACATGATTTCCCATGTTTCAGTGAGTCAGTGGATCAATTCCGAACATCCGGCAGCTCGGGATGGTCTAAAGGTATAATGTTTAAACTTTAAACGTTGCTGGGGCAACGTCAACCAGTACTCCTCAACAAGTTGACAACATGAAGCGGAACACCAAGTTGTCAACCCGGTTTGGACCTCTTGCTCAACCAGCCTAGCAGAAGGACACTCAGATGCGTGCTTGGGAAGGCCCGAGTGGGTGCAAATGACCAATATAATATCAGGAACAAATAAGCAAAACATGACCAATTAGAATTGACAGAAATGTCAGAGAACATCTATTGGGTGATCCATCCTCTGACCTCCACTCTACGATCACATGCCTTGCGTAGGCCTTCAAGGCCAGTCAAGGCAGTGATCCTCTCGGGGATGGGCATCTTGAATCAGGTAGCAAATATCATCTAAAGCCACATGAAGACTGAATTGAAGCTTGGACTGGACCTTCACAGCAAATCACTTGCTTGTCAGTGTTGCCAAGCCTGCGCAGGGAGCTCGTTCAGGCTCCTTTTCTTGCTAATGCGACCCCCGCAGCTCTCATGCTGCTCTCTCGCATGCCCCCCCGCGACCCGTCGGCATAGTGCGTCGGCAGGTGGCGCATGATGTTCCTATCGTGAAGGTTTTTGCTTGTCTCCTCCAAGTGGTTAACCCAAAGCCAATGAAGCAAGACACATGAAGGGGTGCACTGGTGGATGACCTGTACCAACAAACATGTAAGTAGTAAGTTAAATAAATAAATACTGTATAATATTGCGCAAAGTTCTTTGCCCCTTCACCTGTGCTCATACTACCCGCATTCAAAACCTATTTCTTTCGTCAAACCAAAATCAACGAACCAACCAACACACATCCCAAGCCAAACCAACCAACAATCAACATTGACCAATGAACCAAACACCGGAAACTGAAACAAACAGAACACCAACAAATGTCCAACCAATTTTCCAACCTCCCCAAATAACACCAAACACCAAACACCCGAACCAACATAAGGCAACAAAAAAAATACCAGCAAACCACCGTATCCAACACCAACCAACCAACCAATACCAATACCAATACCAATACCAACACCAACACCAATGCCAGCCATTTTACCAATGGACCAATACCAACCCACCACAACCAACCAACCACAACCACAACCACAACCACAACCAACCCACCCAGGCACTCAAACAACCACCGCACCAACCAATTAAGCAACCAATACAGAACCACTCGCAATCCATGCCCAACACACTAGTGATACAAACTGAACAATCCCAAACTCAACCACTCTGCGCGAAAAAGTCCCACCGCGGTGTCTCTCACGCATTGGTGGAGGGTGGCGGCCAAGGGTAGGAGAGCCGCACCGGACGGATCACCTGAACCATCTGACGAACGATGGAAGGTAGGAGAGGCGGCCAGTGGAGAGAGGGCCATGGAAGGTGGATGAGAGATCGCTGGAACCAGCGGGTTGAAAGTGCACAAACCTGCCCCTCTCCACTGAAACAAGTTTTGATCGTGGTTTAAGAAGCATGTCATTTATGTGTATTGGACGTGCGTTGGTTGTACAACTTCAGTATGGCAGTCCAATGTTGGACAACGGATGGTCCGCGGTCTTTTTTTGCCGTCCATATGTCTTGCTCCCCTGGAAGAACCATGGGAGTGGAAAATGGCCCTTGGATGTCTTGGATTGCAATTTTCCTCTGGGTGTACTTTTTGTTTCTTTGCTTTTCTATGCTTTTCTTATTTTTTGAAAACCCTCCGGTTCACACTCCCTTTCTAATTACTACAACAATTGGGCCTCCTTAAAAGAGAAACGGCTGCCGTAGCGGGCAAAAGACATTGGAATAGTGTAGGTGTCAGATCAATTCCTAGCTAATCACAGGAGTTTGGTGCACTTAACAAAGACACAGCTGAATAGTGTGTAGGTGTCAGATTAATTCCTAGCTAATCACGGCAGTTTGGTGCACTTAGCATAGAAACAGCTGTCGTAGCTGGCAGAAACAGCTGTCGTAGCTGGCAAAATACATTGGAAATAGTGCAAATTTCAAACTGGTTGCGGCGTGGTCGACATTTCACAAATTCAGTTTCGCGCAAAGCATAGCAGAGAGAACAAATAAGCACAACCAACCAAAATACAGAAAAGCACAACAACAGCAGCAAAAGCAATAACACCCAAAGCAAGAAACAACACACAGCTACTAAAGCCAAAAGCAATGCAAGCAGCTACAACAACAAATGCAATACAATAAGCAAAATAGCAACACAAATCAAAAGCCAACAAAAGTGATGTTTTTCTGCTGTTTTGCTTTACGTGTTGGTATGTGTTGGTTTTTGTTAATGCTCTTTGCTTTTGTTTTTTCTTCTTTGCCGGCTGTTTTCCTTTCCCTTTTTGTGTTTGCTTTTCCTGCTTTTTGCTTTGTCTATGTTTGTTTGCTTTTGTTTTTGCTACTTGTGTTGCCTCTATTATTTTCATTGTTTTTGGTTGGTCTTCTGTTTTTTGCTTCTGTCGTTTTCTGTTGCGCCTGATAGGTGTTTTTCTTGTGATTTAAACCAACCAGATCTGCGACATATCTGATGGCAATGCTGTTGAAGTACACAACGGCCAAAAACAACCAAGAAAAAAAACAATGATTATCACACTAGTCCAAAACTGAAATCAAAGTAGTGTCAAACTCATGTTTTTCTCGAGTGTCAGGTATCTGTAGGATTCATCCAGATTAATCCTATTCATCTGACATGAAATGACCCTTCTGCCTTGACATGTTCAAGGTTTTATGTCAGTTGTGTGTAGCTAGCTAGTGGTGCTGGTTATACGATTTTGCAACAGCAAGAACAACAAATACTACCCAACACTAAAAACAAACTATATGCACACGTCAAGACAACCAAACACATTGAAGAACATGTCAAGAAGAGGATTAGCAAAGTTGATTGCAAAAGGACTTTCAAGAAGATCATCTTGACTATTTTGACTACTTTCGATATGGATAAGTATGTTGATGGCATCATTATGTACAGTGACCACGAACCAAAGGAGAGAAACTTAAGGAATGCTGACATATAGAACTTTATCACGGGTATATTCCAACCGAACTTGACACTGACTATGCCACCTTTGAAGAAGCCATGTGATTGAAACACATTGAATGACTGTTTATGGCAATGAGCCCAGAATGAAGAAGATGACCAGAGATAAAGTTGTTGAACTCATTGGTAAAACTGCTGAAGAATTCAAGACATTGGAGCATCAGTTAATGATAGGAAAAAGGTGCTCACCGAATACAATGTATCAGAAAGAATCTTTTCTGGTATAAGCCATCAGACTTTCACATCAACACCAAAGATGACCCCATTGAATGTAGGATGATTGAAGGCATTGATGACTTTCTGAAATACACTGAGCACCATGATTTACAAAGAATATGAATTATCAAAGCAAACAGGCAGGATGCAATCCTCACATCAAGCTTTTGTTCAGTTTGTTCAAGTATCATTTCAGACTTGAATTTCAGGTTCAAGCTGAAGGCTCAAAGTCAGAGTGTTCAATCTGATACAAGTACCTTCATCATTGACATATGCTGCATTCTTCCAGGAAGAAATGTTTGGTGATGCTTGGGTGCTGCACTTCTGATTGATGTTTAACTCGTGGATTAACCTAGATGAATCTTACAAACACTAATTTTCTGCAACTCACAACGGGCCCCTCCAAACAAAAAGGGGAAGGAAAACAGCTGCTAAGCAGAAAAGGACGAACAAAAGCAACGCACATTGATAAACAAATAAACACGGAAAGTAGCAAAGCAGAAAAAACAGCAACAGCAAAAACAGCAGCAGAAGCCGCAAAGCAAGAAAAGCAAAGAGCATTGTAAAAAAGAAAACACAAAACACATAAAAGAACAACAAATGCAACACAGCCAGCAAAATAGCAACAAAAGGCAAAAGCAAACAAAAGAACATACGACAAGCAAAATACATATCAAGCGCAACAGCATACAACAAAGCAAAAAACAGAAGAACAACCAAAAACAATGAACACACTAAAGTTAAAGGCAACACAAGTAGCAAAAACAAAAGCAAAAAGCAGGAAAAGCAAACACAAAAAGGGAAAGGAAAACATCCGCCAAAGCAGAAAAACAACAAAAGCAAAGAGCATTAACAAAAACCAACACATACCAACACGTAAAGCAAGACAGCAAAAAAAACAGCAAAAGCAAACAAAGAGCAAAAGCAAAAAAGCAGCAAAAGCAGAATCTGAAAAAAAACCCTAAAAACGATTGAAAACAAATCCCCAAAACACGCACCTCCTTTTCCTTTACAAACAGGTGGTGCCATCCAGAAAGAAATGAAGATTCCAGGAGTGTAATGCAATAGCTCATCATCACCTTGATACCTACTCGGGCTGTCATTCTCTCCCAGTTTCGCAAGGCGAACGAACAGCAGGTCGAACACACCGGTCGATGAACCGACAGGATGCAGGATGCAGTACGGCGATGTACTACTACGGACGACCTCTAAGCGTGAAGTCGCCACACCTGGAGAAATAGATGCTAATGACACTCCCTGAAACAAACATGGAAGTGGAACATGGCCTCTTGGAAGGCAGCGTTTTTCGCCAAACAAACCGAAGGTTTTGCTCATCTCATACATGCTGATTACATATCTTTCAGTGGCATTTTGTCATGGGCTGCGTTCCAGGTAAGCGAGCAAATCCGAAACAGTGGTAAACGCTTCATGGAGACGATTGCCCGTGGTGATCGGGCATGTTTTTCACTAACCTTGCGGAACCTTATAGTGGGCCCTCTATGTTTGAAGGTTGCGAACCCAACAAGTTCCACAAGCAAGTCCT